ATTAGTATCAGAAAGATTATTTATATTTTACTAGAGATCCTCTGTGCTCTAATTATCCCTCAGGTCTTGGCAGCTGCTATATTTTGTTGTTGTTTTGTTTTTTACTGTTTCTATAATTAACACCTTCATAGCAGATTTAATCATCCCAAAGCAAAATCCTTGAGAGAGATAGTTTGGGACTAGGTCAGAGTATTGGTGATGCAATTGTGTTTCTGACCTTCTCGAGGTCACTATTACATCCTTACACAATATTTGTTAAGGGTTAAGTTGGTTGTCTTCCTCAGTTCTTTACCTTATTTTTTGAGATAGGGTCTCTCGTTGACCCTGGAGCTGATAGGCTATACTGGTGGTTAGAAAGCCCTAGGAATCCTGTTTTTGCTCCCCAGTCAGGGAATGCCCACGTGTGCCATCCTTCCCAGGCCTTTTACATCTATCCGTCCATCCGTCCGTCCATCCATCCATCCATCCATCCATAAGTGAGGTTCTGGGGGATTGAACTTTATGCTTTCCCAACTGAACTATCTCCCACCCAGGAGCTTTTTCTTGGGTCTTTTTCTGTTTACTCATAATGTATGACTTTTCTAGGAAACTCTGATAGACAAAGGAAATAGTACATAAGTCTAAGACTCATACTGCCCTGTATGTCTGCTCTTCCCAGTCTAGAGCTGGTGTAGAGAAAGGCTTAGAGTGGTTCCGTCTGTCTTTGGGACTGGACTATACCACTCCTAGAAAGTTGGTGCTGCAACGAGAGCGAGCGAGGCTCTGGGTCTGAACTATTTCATAGCCTTGGTTCAGGCACTCCTTTGGTCTTGTTTTTCTCAAAATACTTAACTGAACTTTTTTGTTTTTGAGACAGGGTCTTTCTGTGTTTCCTTGACTGCTGTGGAACTTGCTCTGTACACCAGGCTGTCCTTGAACTGAGTTCTGCCTGCCTCTACTTCTTAAAAATAAATTATGTTTCATGTATGGGTGTTTTGCCTAAATATATATAGAGAGAGACCAGAAGAGGGCTTCAGATCCTTGGAAATAGAGTCAAAGGCTGTTGTAAGCCACTATGTGGGTGCCGGAAACAAAACCCAGGTCCTTTGGAAGAACAGCCAGTACTCTTAACTATCAAACAATATCTTCCTCAGCAGGTTCTTACATTTAAGCCTAAAAACCAGGGACTACTCTTTCTTTTGTCTTAGGTCCTACTTCAAGGTCTGCCCAGAGGAGCCCAGGCCAGGAAGAGGTTGTTTCTGGTTATCAGTTATCTTTCATGGTTCACAGTTCTTGCTGGACTAAATAAAGCTTTTTGCTAGAGCCAGGTCCGTTCCCCCCCTCCCCCCACCCTAACCCCATCCCCACACCCAGTTCATTGGCTCTGCCCTTAGGTAAGCTACAGAGCCTTGGTGTTTCCTTATTTCTGTTAAAGCAGTCTCATAAGCAGAATGGAAAGGCTTGCTCATGTCCAGAGAAAGGATTCTGAGAATCTTGGCATTTCTTTCCCTAACTTCAGGCCCAGTTGGGTGATTCCTGTGACTGAGCTTGAGCTAGCAGTGGGCATGTGTGTGGAAGCTGATCTCCTCGTTACTGATTCATAGACTTGTTCGTTAGTTGCTCGTTAGTTCTTCTATCAAGTGGTATTCTGGTAAAAGAGTAAGCTAAATGTAGTCTTAAGGTGCCACCTCCTGTTTCTCTACAGACTTAGAAAAGGGGTAGTCCTGTTTTCCTCTGTGTTCTTCACCCAGTCTTCAGGCAGAGTGAGGCCCTTCCCAGGACATCCGCCTGGACTCCTGTTCAGGACAGCAGCCTCCACCCTGTTTCCTATTTGGTTAAAGTCTAGAAGTCTGGCTTGTGATAATGCTTTCAGTTCATCTCTTGTTTCCTCAGTCTACGGCCAGGGCTGACATTGTTTTTCAGGTTGGGATTTTTATCAGGGTTTTTACCCCTATAAACTCATGCACAGGAGAATTCTTTTATAATGGATCTTTGAACCCTTATTGCGTTGTGTATCAGTTCTAGTTCCACAACTAGTTCCCTCCAGCCCGAAGTTGCATTGTGAGAGCCTCAGGAGCTCAGGGCCAGCTATCCCAGCTAACTGATCCTGGCTTCCGGAGAGACCATGCAGGGATGTTATTGAAAAGGGAGCTGTAGATGTCTGCCGCAGATGTCTACTCCTCTGTTCTCACGGTGCTCACTCTGTTCTCTGTTGCTGGGATTCCCCTTTCATTGTGTTTGCCTGACCCTTAGGAAAGCAGTCTAGTAAAAGGAACGTGGTGTGAGGGTTTTGTCTAGTTTGCCTCTTGAGCAAATTACCTCACTTTCTGCCAGAGGTTCTTCTTTAAAATGGGGTGTGCTGTGAAGACACGAGCTTCAGCAGCGGGCTGAATGCTAGCGTGTTTCAGTTCCCCTAGTTATCCAGGTTATTTGCTACTTTCTCAGGATGACTGGCAACTCAAGAGCTAGCCTGTGCTCAGGTTCCTGGTTTTGTTGTTTGTTTGTTTTTGATAAAACAGTACTAGAGTGCTGGAGAAAGCTGTCCTCTTTTTCTTTCCCTATGGTACGGAGAGAATTTTCCTCTCTAGACGAATGCTCATTCACCTGCCATGGAGAGCAGCAGTGTAGTCTTATCCAGCCATGAGAGCAGGGTTGGAAGATGCTGTGTACTTGTTACATGTGTACTGTGACAAAACTGGGGACCACTTCCTCTTGCACTGGAGGCCCTTACAGGGCAAAGGAAACCACATTACCAATTGAGAAAGTCCATGGTACTCTAATTCCAGAGCAGGGTAATAGCTGTACCTCAGAGTGAGGTAACAGACTATATGGCTTCAGGCCAACTGCATAGCTGCCCATTGAGGCCACAGGAAATCCTCCAGAGATAACACAGTTCTCCAGGCTAGAACCCGACCCCTAGCCCTGGCGCTGCTGTGAGGATGGGACCTGCGCTGCTGCTGTTTGAACTGTTTTATGTCGTTTCTCTTGGTTGCTCATGTTAAAACTGTACCTTTTTTTACAGGGATGCTTGAAGATGGAAAGAAATTTGATTCCTCTCGGGACAGAAACAAGCCTTTTAAGTTTATGCTAGGCAAGCAGGAGGTGATCCGAGGCTGGGAAGAAGGGGTAGCCCAGGTAGGCTCTCGTGTGCCTTGTTTCCTAGCATCTGCCTAACACACACATGTAACTCTCTGGGAGGGTCATTCTTGCTTTCTTTGTAAAGGTTTATTACTGAATGAGGAATGTTTGCCTGCATGTATGTATACATATATATTACATCTGTGTCTTGTACTCTCAGAAGTCAGAAGAGGATATTGGGTTCCCTGGAACTAGAATTAGAGATGGTTTTGAGCTGCCATGTGGGTGTTGGGAACTGAACCCAGGTAGGTCCTCTGCAAGAGCAGCTTGTGCTCTTACTGTTGAGCCATCTCTCCAGGCCCATGGGGTTTCTTGTATAGTTTAGCACATTTTATTGCCTTTACATGCACAAAATGGCCTGGAGTTTACTTTCTTTCATTAACTTTGACCATACCTGAACATGAGCAGACCCATACAGCTGAATGCTCTCTGCGGGGCATGGGTGCTATAGTTCAGTTAACCAAAACCCTAATGAAGGCCAGTTGAGTCTTTCCCCAGTATTTTGATAAGCAATACGGCATACCTGTCTTGCAGTCTTCATCTTAACATGTGTGCAGGTATTACTGAAGGGCAAGTTCTAGAAAGTAGGCTCAGTTACAGCCTTTGTAGGGTTAATTAATTATTCATCAGGTGGTGAAGGTGTCATCAGTCTTTAGGTCATTTGTGTATAACAGAGAAGGGGTGGAGGGAAAAAGGGATGGGGTGGAGGAGGCAGATGGCCCCTCTCCATTTCTTGATGCTGGTTTGGCTCCATGTTTCCAGGTACAAGGTCCTGCTACAGATGCAATTTCGGAAGATTCTATTTTTGTCTAATAGTATCATGGCCATGTTTCCATGTTGTATCTTAAGCCCACTGGGATCTTTCTGATGACTAATCCATTGTTTGGGAATGTGTATGAGGTCATTATCCTTTGTCATGGGCATATATGGGTTGTTAGAATATCCTAGAAAGTAATATTGTTGAGATAATCCTTTTAAAGATATCTTCTGTTAATTAGTATAAATATATAAATATTTTTATAAATAATAGCATATTATATGTTACATTGCCTTGTTTCCCATAAAAATCAATCTTTTTTTAGTCTCTCACTATAAGAATGTATGTATAAATGTGGTAGTGAACACCTATAATCTTAACTTAGGGCAACAGTATTGTTGTTATTTTGAAGTCATCTTATACTACACTAGGTTACAGAGTGAGATCCTGCCCCTATCCACCATAAAAAGATTAAATATAGTACAGAATGGTAGACTGTCCTCAGAGTCGAATCTGTGCTGTTTTTGTTTAAGCTTTTTTTTTTTTTTAAATCCAAGTACAGTCAGCCTTCTGTGTACAGAGTTGCCACATCCTTGGATTAAATGAAAAAGTTGCATCTGTATAAACACATGCCTTTCCCACCTTTTTTTAAAAAAAATTTATTTATTTATTATATATACAATATTCTGTCTGCGTGTATTCCTGTAGGCCAGAAGAGGGCACCAGACCTCATTACAGATGGTTGTGAGCCACCATGTGGTTGCCAGGAATTGAACTCAGGACCTTTGGAAGAATAGGCAATGCTCTTAACCACTGAGCCATCTCTCCAGCCCCTTTCCTCCTTTCTTAATTGTCCAAATAACACAGCATGAGAACTATTTGTATAACATCAGTAAGTCCTAAAAAGTCAAGAGAGGTTTTTAATTGCCATTGGGTCCCATCTAGTGTTAACTGCAGCCTCCCAAGTTTTTCACAGTGTGGGTGCTGCCTGCTGAATGGGCAGCTGTAGTCACTTGAGTGTCTTGGTCAACACTGTTCATGCCAGGGACACCCAGGGACCAGCTTGGCTTGTGGAAGGATTGGGAGTTTGTCCATCTGAGTTTAATCCTTGTTTTTTTTCTCACAGATGAGTGTGGGTCAGAGAGCCAAACTGACAATCTCCCCAGATTATGCCTATGGAGCCACTGGGCACCCAGGCATCATCCCACCACATGCCACTCTGGTCTTCGATGTGGAGCTTCTAAAACTGGAATGACAGAAGTGGCCTCCTCCCTTAGCTCCTTGCACATGGGTAAGAGTACTTAACTGCTGCTCTGTTGGTAGGCCCAGTGTTTGGTAGAAGTGAGGACAGAAAAGACTATAGAGCCCCTCTCCCCTCTCTGGGACAGCCCATCATTGTAAAAGCTGGCCATTCTAAGAACAGGACGGCATGTGTTGCTGAGGAGCTTGTGGGGATGGCAGCTGTTTATATGTAGCTCTTTGAATTAAGTTCCTAGTGCTAGCATTTTAGACATTTAGAAGTAAAATTCTTTCTGGCCTTGTTCTGTCCTGTTTTTCTAGAAGCTAGTAAGAAAAACACTTTTGTAGGAGTAGCGTTAGCTTGAACAACCTCAAGGAAGCAGCCTTGAGATCAGGCAGTCAGTCCTAGGGAGAGACCTTAGGGTCCCAAGTTGTTTTCCTGTCCCCTTTTTCATTATTAGAACATTAAACTCAGCAACTAGTAGTATGGCATTTTTCTTGTGACTTTTAGGATCTCTTTACACATGAATGTCACCCTTCCAGCTGACCTAGACTTTCCTGTTTGTTCTACCCCTAGAACCCAGAGGCCACAGCCAGGGACTGAGTGAGGATGCTTTTTGGAACCTCATTGTGTTGTCAGCAGCATCGGGAGTGGGAGGGGCGGCCTCCTTCTGTTTTTAGCAAGCTAAACTTAATGTTAGGTTACCAGGAGAAAAGCCATATGAACCACTCATGGCAAGTCGACACAAGAAAGTTACTTGCCGGGAAACTGAGTCAATTCATCAGCTTTTTCCAGCTTTAAGAAGTTGCCTGGTTCAAGACCTCTCAGCTGCTCAGGACGGGACTTGACATGATAGATAATATTGTGACTGTCCACGCATAGAACAATGAGTTACTGGAACTCACAGATTTTCTGTCCCCCAACAGATCTGCCATGGAGGGATCTGGTACCTTCAGACGGGTGCACATGAATCCATGTGGAGCTTTTCCTGATGCCACCACTCTTTGTATAGACACCTACCCGACTGAATGTGTTCCGTCACTCGGCTTTGCTTCGGACACCTCCATGTCCTCTTCCTTCTCTGTATGTGTGTTGACCTAAACTATATGTCATAAACCTCAAGTTATTTTGTTTTGGGGTGAAGATTCAATTTAAGTCTTTCAGATCTAGGTTTCCAATGAAGTATATTGTCAAGTATTAACAGCACAAGCGATGGGTTAACTTTAGAATAGGAATTGGTGTTGGGGGTGGGATTTGCAAGAATTTTTATTTTATTTTAATTTTTTGGATGAAAAATTTATTATATATTAAGACATTCTTGCTGCTGTGCTGCAAAGCCATAGCAGATTGGAGATGCTGTTGAGGGCTGGATTTTTCTCCAGTGCGGGAAGTCCTATTAAATTGAAAGCCCTACCCAAACTGAAGTGGGAAGGGAGGGAGCGAGCCTTTGACAGCCCTCCCACCTTCTGAAACCGTCTGCCTTGTAAAGCAGGTCCCTTTACTGCTGTGTTAGACACTACAGTCCCTGTCCCTGGGTCGGCAGGGATCTTTGAAGCCTTCTTTGTGACCTGGCTTAATTTGTTTTTCATCCTATGGTTTTTCTAATGGATTTTCAGGACTTTTGTAATCTTGTAACTATCCAAGCTCCACTTCCTAAATTTTAAGAACTTTAATGGAAAGTTTAAATTGAAGGTGCTGTTTGTAGACTCACCACCCAATGGACGCCCAGTCGTCACTACAAATCCTTGAGTGTTCTCTAAGAAGATGATGCTGGTCATCACAGCTTCAGCATCTCCTGGGTTCTGATGCTTGGCTCTCTCTGCTAATCTTGGCTTTCTGGCTTTTCCTCCCTCAGTTCCTTCTCACCCTCTGCTGTCCTGTGTAGTGATTTGGTGAGAGAAAGTACGCTTTTGTCCCTTGCCCTCTGCACCACATATGCGTTTTAAGTTTTATTATTGCAATAAAAGTGCTTTATGCTGGCTTTTCTCAGCTCTGTGTCATGGTGGTTGCTTGCACGGTGCCTCATGCCCCTTTTAGCACAGATTGGTAGGTATGTAGGGTCCAGGGTTATATCTTGACAGCCAGCATTAGCCCTTGGCTGTGTTGGTAGGTGGGTGGGGATGGTAGGCTAACTCAAAAGAACTGCCTGGGACCTGCTAGGGCAGTCATGGGTCCTGCCCTCCTGTCTCTCACAGCCTTTAACTGTCACAGAGAAGTAGAGGATCCAACCTGCTTTCAGCAGAGTCAAGCTGGAGTTTTATAAACAATTGTGTGAATGAATATGGAGAGGATGTAGGAATTTAAATGTGTGTCCTTCATGAGATAGCGTGGAAAGACTGCCTTGTTTTTTTTCTGTCCTATCTTCTCTGTTCCCCTTCCTCCATCCTGTAGGTGCCAGTAATGTTTCTCTTACTGAGAATTAACGCTGATCACCAAGATGCCCCATAATACCCTGACAAATCCTTTATAATTGCTCTGGAGTTGGACGTAGTGACAGACACCTTTAATCCCAGCACTCAGAAGGCAGAGGCAGGTGGATCTCTGAGTTCTGGGCTAACCTGGTCTACATATTGAGACCCTGTATCTTTAAAAAAGAAAAGAAAGTGCTCGTTTCAGCAGCACATATACTAAAATTGGAACGATACAGAGAAGATTGGCATTGACCCCCGTGGAAGGATGACACTCAAATTCACGAAGCGTTAAAACAAAAAAAAAAAAAAAGGAAAAGAAAAGAAAAAAATTGTTTTGCTTAGTCATTTTAAATACAGAGGTTGTCAAACATTGGAATAATGGTTGGTTTTCTATTTTTTTAGCATTCTTGTGGAGGTCAAAGGACTACTTACAAAAGCCAGTTTTCCTGCTATCTGGGTCATGGGGATGCAGCACCTTCACCTGTCTTGCTAGTCTGAATAATGGTTTTTAAAAATACTTTCCTTAAATTATTTTAATTTAGATTTCTAGAGTAATAGCCTAGAGTTACATTTTAATTTTTCTCAAAAGTTATTTTATCAGATTTGTCAAAATGATAGTTTTGGTGACTGCCTATTTATTTAAAAACTGTTGATGTTGGATACATACCTTCTTTGTTACATTTCACTTCAGTTCCCCTAATAAATATAGAAGGCAGTATTTTGTTTACATTTTTGTGTCCCATCAAGATCACTATCGTCCCAGAGTGTCATGCCATTTCCCACTCAGGTCCTACCGTCCCCCAGAAAAAATTTTTTTAACTGTATGTGTGTGAGTGTGTACAGAATGTATGCAGATGTCCTGGAAGCCAGAGGAGGGTCTTGGATCCCATAGATTATAGTGACAGGTTGGTTAAAAGTACTGACTACTCTTCCAGAGACCCCAGGTTGATTCCCAGCACCAATGTAGTGGCACACATCTGTCTATAAACTCCAATTCTGGCCATCCCAGTGTCCTCTTCTGGCCTACATAGGGACCAGGCACCAAGTGGTGTATAGACATGCATAGATAAAACACCTAAAGATTTAAAAAAAAAAAAAGTGCTAAAATTAAAGTACCAAAGGTAGCACTCCTGTCTTCTGCCCAGAGTGTGTGATGAGATCATCCAAGTTGCTTAAATTCCAGATGTGTGCCCCAGGCAGATGGGTATTGTACTCATCAAAGGCTGGGTTTGCCATCACTGAGCTACGTCGTGCACCACTGTGGCTTCTGGAAAGGTAGAAGAGCATGCTGATGATATATGTGGCTGATACAGGGTCAGATCTGCCTAGTGGTGGACACTCTTCCTATTTTAGCATCAATTTCTAATACTCAAAAACAATGCTCGTCCAAGGTTTATTATGGAAAGTAAATCTGGTTAATTGCAGAGTGTCCTGTAATTATTATGCCAGTCCTGTGACCCAGTGCATGCTGGGTACAAGGAGTGAATGCAGCCTGAGATAGGGCAGTGCCGCTGCAGGCTTTTAACATCCGGTGAAGGGAACCAGCAGGTGAGTAGATGGTGGCAGATGCCAGGAGAGCAGCAAAGCGCAGGGAGTGGCTAGTGGAACAGCAAGGATGAAGGCCCTAAAGGCTGGTGGTGGCAGTGAGACTTATGTGCTCCTGGCTGCCCTGGAACTTATCTGTAGATCAGGCTGTCCTCGAACTCAAGAGATCCACCTGCCCCTGTCTCCTGAGTGCTGGGATTAAAGGGTGTGGCATGCCTGGCAGAATTTTCTTTGAATGGTACTGAAATAGTGTTTTCAGCATCTCACCCAAAATAATGGGCTTCATTGGAATGTCAGCATTCTGATGGACAGATCTGAACTGAGAGGACTAGAATAAACCCTAGGGCCTATATGATATGCTTATGAATTACACAAAATAATTCTAACTTCCTTACAATACTGGAAACATCTATGGTGGGTTCTCCAGAGTGGGATTGTCACACAGCAGTGGTGACACTTGATTGTCTGTTCTTGAGGGACTAATGATCAGTGAAACCCAGGAATCAAGGTGGCAACTGTTGACCCAGGACCTAATGAAAACCCGTCTTTTCCTAGGGTGCCTTTGAGAGACTCTGCAGAAGTATTCTTATTCTGTCCTGGAGGAATTATCTCCAGGACAGATTACTTTCTTACTCTACTCCTGAGATTATAAGAAAATTATAAAAATTATCATTGGTGCCCAGGACCATCTGCTATATACAAGTTCTGCTTTGTGCAGCTGGAATCTAGAGAGGAAGAGGGAGAACAGAGAGCCCACAGCTGGGGAGAGAGAACAAGGGTGTGAGGACTCACTGAGATCTGCCAGCTCCTTCACTAGGAGAAATAAGCTGACAAATGCTATGTCAGATTGGTCACCAGAAAAGAAACGACCCAGATACCCTCTAAGACCTCTTACCCTCAGTGTGACAAAACGGGACACTGAAGGGCTTACTGCTCCCAAAGACTGATGGACTTGTGGACCAGATCCAAATGTTGTCTCTAAAATGAGAAAACCTTTGGCCCCAGTTGGCCTTTGACATTGATCATATCCAATATTACAGAGCTTTGGGTAAATCTTGCAGCACCCAGTAGGACCAGTACTTCAGTACTTTTCTCCTTGTTAGTGGGGCTTTCTATTCTTTTTTTTTTTTTTTTTTTTTTTTTTGGTTTTTCGAGACAGAGTTTCTCTGTGGCTTTGGAGCCTGTCCTGGAACTAGCTCTGTAGACCAGGCTGGTCTCGAACTCACAGAGATCCACCTGCCTCTGCCTCCCGAGTGCTGGGATTAAAGGCGTGCGCCACCATCGCCCAGCTTTCTATTCTATTTTTAACTCGTATTCTAGACAATTGCTCTCCAACTCTTGGATTATGGGCATCAGCAAGACTCCAATGGCCAAATAATTCCTTCTACCTTAATGCTTTCTGGAATATTGTATTCTTTCCTAACACTTCTGGCAATGACTGGATGTCTTTCACCTTAATTGGACAGAGACCTAGTGGCAAAAAAATGGAGGTCCCAAATATCTTCAGCTCCCCACAGAATTCTCAATAACAGCTTTCAATATCTCTCCCAAAGGGACGGGTCCTTACAGCCCCGTATGGGCTACTGACACTCCAGGTAGGGCAGTACCTAGATATAATACAATTAAAGGATTCTCATGCTTTTCTTGACCATAAATAAATTTTGTTCTAATTTGAAGCCAATACAGGAAACCAGAAGAGTCAAGTGAAAGGAAAATTAAATGAATAATAAAATGGGATTAAAGGAATAAATTTTTTTTTAAAAAAAAAAAGAAAACAAAAGCAGAGAAAACATTAACAAATGCCCAGCTAAACTAATCAGGAATGTTAAAAGAGGTTCTTAACGTAGGTAAGTGACTCAGACCCACAAAAAAGCATCTGACTGTTTTTAAACATAAATCCAGGGGCCGGATGGTGGTGGTGCACGCCTTTAATCCCAGCACTTGGGAGGCAGAGGCAGGTGGATCTCTGTGAGTTCGAGACCAACCTGGTCTACAAAGAGTGCCAGGACAGGCTCCAAAACCACAGAGAAACCCTGTCTCAAAAAAAAAAAAAAAGAAAGAAAGAAATCCAGGCTACAAATCACAACCCCAGCGAACTTAGACAACAATGCGGACACTAAGACTTAGATAGAGCTAATCTACATGGGAAGTAGAAAGTAGAAAAAGACAAGATCTCCTGAGTAAATTGGGAGCATGGGGACCTTGGGGGAGAATATCAATAAAAAATGTAAAAAAATAAAGTGTAAGAGCCATAGTGAGTGGGGGCGGGGCTGCTGTTCTGCCCCTGTCCCTGTTGGTCATTTGAAGTAATAAGGGCGGCGGGGCTGCGTCCCCAGCACCCCGGCCGCCTGCCCGGCTAGCTCAGTCGGTAGAGCATGGGACTCTTAATCCCAGGGTCGTGGGTTCGAGCCCCACGTTGGGCGCCATATGAAGTAATAAGGGTGGCGGGGCTGCGTCCCCAGCACCCCGGCCGCCTGCTCAGCTAGCTTATGCCCCGAAATAATTACATGGACACTGTAGTCATTTGCCTGGACAGTCTTCCCTCACTGGGCCTTGTGATTCCTCCGGACTTCTTAACTTCAGAAAGAAGTCACATTGAAGTTCTGTTAGAAAGCAATGATGTTGGGGCTGGAGAGATGGCTCAGATGGTAAGAGCACTGGCTGTGCTTTCAGAGGACCCCGGTTCATTTCCTAGCACCCGAATGGCAGCTCCAGTTTCAGGAAATCTGACACCTTCAGTGCACATCAAATAACTTTGAATAAATTATTTTCAAAAAAGAAAGCAGTGTTGTCTCCTGCCTATTGTTACGTCTGTCCTGTTGGGCTCAGTTGCTGTCTCCTAGAAAGTGAACTACTGGGTCCTGAGTAGTTCTTAGACACTGCATACCCCACTGTCTTACAGTATTTCTGGAATGAGGATGTACTAGATGACTGATACTCCGGGAACATGCCAACCAGCAGGTGGAGGGTGAGTTAGGCATCATCCCTGTCAGCGCTCCAGTTTGGGCGCCAGTCAGGAGGAAACCAGCATTTCACCAGACTGGATCCCTCAGAACCTCATTATCTGAAATGATGTAACGAGGAAAGAGAGCTTGCCAAGTGTGCCTAAGGCTGATTTCCACAGCCAGGCAATACCCTTAGAAGTACAGACTGCTAGACTGCTTTCAGGGCTCATTTCTATAGTTTGTGATTATAGCAAAAATTGCTAAGTGAAGTTTAGATATGAAGAATTTTGGGCCGGGCGATGGTGGCGCACGCCTTTAATCCCAGCACTCGGGAGGCAGAGGCAGGTGGATCTCTGTGAGTTCGAGACCAGCCTGGTCTACAAGAGCTAGTTCCAGGACAGGCTCCAAAACCACATAGAAACCTTGTCTCGAAAAATCAAAAAAAAAAAAAAAAAAAGAAAAAAAGAAAAAAGAATTTTGGTCACCTCACTAAGGGAACAATGAAATGCAATTTTATAAGCAAAACTGATCAACTTTTTAAATGGGCACATCAGATTTGCTTTAAAATTTAAAGACACTATTAGTAAGCAGATTTGATATTTTATTTAAAATTCAACTGGGTGTCCTTGAATCATTGTTCGGGATGCAACCCAGAGCCCTGCAGTTTTGCACATGACACTTGGATGGCTCTGCATTAAGGCACCCCACCCCTGTGCTGCAGGGGCCTAGCTCTCAGTGGAGCCTCAGGCCCTCTCTGGTTGAAAGCTTTTTTTTTAGACTTCTCTGTAGCTGGGCAGTCCCAAACCTGCTTGATATGCCAGCTTCCGGAGTGAAATGCAGGGTCTGTGGCTCGACCTGGTCCCTCCTTCCTCCTGGAATCAGGAGAAAACTGGGATAGCTACCACAGAGGGAAAGAGGAGCTGCCCCCTTCCCTCCCTCCCTCCTTCCCCAGCCGCGATCCCCCCCCCCTCTCTCTCTCACACACACACACACACACACACACACACACACACACTAGCAGTTAAGGGCATAGACTCGAACTAGACTGCCTGACTTCTAATCTGACTTTCATTTCTTACCTTGGGCATGAAACTTAAGCTCTGTCTTCAATTTCTTCGTCTGTAAAATCTTGAGAAAGAAGGCTTGGAGGCCACCATTAGACACACCACCTTCACTTGATCACCAAATATCTCACTTGAAGGTATCGTCTCAAAACAAACTGAAAGAAGCGGGCTGACACATAGAGCGGTCAGCGTCGGGAAACCATGGCCACAGTGACCACATGGTCTCTTAAGCACTAGTCACATACTTCATACTCGAGAGTGAAAACTCCACCACCCCATGAGCCACCAGCCCACCAGTCCATAGGAATAAACCCTACCAAGTTTAACCTTCCTACATCATTCAGACTCCAGCTGAAGAACCTAGATTTTCATTGGAAATTCCAATATCAGCTAAAAATGTCAATCTTCAGCTGTCTGTAGATGTTCATAATATACTCCCCAACCCCGACCATGTCTTGAGTTTAAAAGCTTAAAGTTTAGAAAGATGTCCACATACCGTTCATTTTAGAAGGGTCTCAAGTTTGCTAAAAGGCTTTTCCAAGTACAAGTGGCTCTCAGACTGGGCATGGTGGTGCACACCTTTAATCCCAGCACTTGGAAGCCAGAGGCAGGTGGATCTCTATGAGTCCTATGCTAGCTATTCTCGTCTACATAATGAGTTCCAGGCTAGCCAGGGCTACATAGTGATGCCCTGTCAGGGAGGGATGCAAAGAGGGAAGAAGGAGCAGAGGTGGGAGAGGAGTTACCTTGCAACAATTGCCAATGGCTCCTCAGCTAGGGTAGGGCCTCGGGTAGGTCACGCCATGATCCATACTGGAACTGTAACTGGCTTGAATGCGTACAGGCAACCATAGATACCGTGGATTTATGTGTGTAACAGCCATGTGCTATCCAGAGAACAGCATTTCACAGCACCCCTCCCATCCTCCATGTTTACTTATTTTGAGACAGTCTTGCTTTGTATCTGGCTGGCCTGGGATTCACTGTATAGCCCAATATGCAAGATGGTCTCCAACCCAAGGAAATCATTGTACTTTATTGTACCAAATGCATGTACTACCGTGATCAGCTTTAGGAATGCTTCCAAAATTAGCTTTATATGATACAACTCTGTAAAGCTTGTGACTAACCCGGCCAGTAGAGAAATAGCCATCCTGATTCAAGGAAACTATCCATCTTGCTGTTGCTACTTCAGAATAGTGACAGGCAGTTGTCCCCAACTCCATTTTCTCCATTGCCTCTTCCTAGAGGTATCTCCAATGTTCTTTCCACCGACGCTCTGCCTGCAGGACACGTGTACAACTCAAGTGGTTTGGCTAGCACATGTGTGTCAATGCAATGATCTTCTCTAGGCATCAACCTCCAGGCTGGCCTCAAACTCGGTGATCCACATGCCGCTGTCTCCCGAGTGCTGCGATTAAAGACATGTAACACCTTGCCTGGCTTTGTGCTCTCCTGCGGACACTTGCCTCCTGCGACTCAGACATCTTCAAAGCCTCTTGTTACTCACCTGCCATGCTGAGTTCCCCAGATTGCCCTGGCGGCCACAGCTCTCAACGTTGAGGTCCATTCCTCCCTTGTCACACAGCCATACCGGTCTAAGTCCATCTTAAGTCACAGAGGTGGGAATGTGGCAGTGACCTCCCTTTTTACATGTCTCACTGTGACTAATGCATGTCGGGCTGGGGACAAGCCTGTGGAACCGCTGGCTGTGGAAAACCCAGCTCAGAGATTTAGAAACCAGTGTGATGTCAGAGTCTGGGACTCACCTCCGATAACCCAACCAACCCTTCCTTTAAGTATGGGTGAATATTTAAGTTCTGTAACTGTTTTTGTCTTTTCTAGGAGGGATATGTGTCCTTTGAGTAAGTACTTACAGAGTCTTCCATGTGGCAGGCATGATGCTAGGCCTCAGGGTTAAGAAGCTCACAGACAACACCCTGCCACCGTGGAGGCACAGGATTGTTACCTTATAGGTCAACTTGAGGTGACAGTTGCAGCCTGCAGCCTCCAGGTGAGCTGAGGATTCTTTCTTATTCCTTCCCAAAACAGAGTTTCTCTATATAGCACTGGCTGTCCTAGAACTTTCTTTGTAGAACAGGCTGTCCTCGAAATTACAGAGATCCACCTGCCTCTGTCCCCCGAGTGCTGGGATCAAAGGTGTGCACCACCAGCACCCTAGCACCCTGCATGCCTGGAGGATTCTGAACAAGCCATGAGCTCAGAGCGAAGGTGCCGTGGCTGGTTGCTCGGGTCTGCTGCAGCACTGTCAAGGAGCTTCTGAAGGAACGCTGCACATTTAGCCTCCAGTGTTTGAAACCTATTAATATTATTCTTGCAAGTCTATAAAAAACAGAACTAAATCCCGGTCACAGCCCTGGTTGTGGTATTTATTTTGAGAACATTCTTTGTAGATCTAACACGTAGGCCTTGCACTCAAGGAACAATAGGTTGAGTTTCCAGCCTTTGGGAACATAAGCGATACAAGATGACGATTCTCAGAGTCAGAGGCGAAAGGCCACGTGAACGGGGTGTCAGCCATTCCTGGGATGTGTTCTGTGTGCAGCACTCTGGGCTGTAGGCTCCTCACAGGCAGGCAATGGCTCTGGATCTGCTGTTAGTACAATCCTGCCAGACTCATCATGGGAACTGTGAGGTGAGCCTGCCTGGCAACCATCCCTGATACTCGCCCCACCTTGAGTAGGCAGGTGCACTCCGTCATTCCTTAGGGGACTGCCCAGCACATGACTCCTAGGTTCCTCCTCCCTAGACAACGTCATCCAATTGTACCCACCAGGAATTCCTCCTCCTCTGTTTAACTTGACACTCATATGATTATTTAGTGGGATAAATATACATTTAAAAATTTCAAAATTTAAAACGCACAAAGGAGCTGGACATGGTGGCACGAACCTTAAACATAGCACTTGGGAGGCAGAGGCAGGCAGATCTCTGTGACTTCAAAGTCAGACTGGTCTACAAAGTCAGCTCCAGGCCAGCCAAGACCACATAAAGAGGCCCTGTGTAAAAAAAAAAAAAAAAAAAAAAGACAAAGGCTGGAGAGATGGCTCAGAGGATAAGAGCACTGGCTGCTCTTCCAGAGGTCCGAAGTTCAATTCCCAGCAACCGCATGGTGGCTCACAACCATCAGTAATAAGACCTGGTGCCTTCCTTGCCAGCAGTACATTGTATGCTAAATAAAGAAATAAATCTTTAAAAAAAATAACAAAAAGAAATAAAGGAAAAAAATGTTTTCCTGCACCAACACTATCACAACACAGTTCCTTAATTCTCCTTCCAGGAGACAATCAGTTGATTTTTTAAAGATCCATGTTTACTGCTCTCTTGGGAAATTGATAAGCATGGCTAGATGGTTCCGTGGGTAATGAGGACCCCATCACCCATGTGAGAGCTGTGAACAGCCGCACACATCTGTAACTCCAGCACTCCAGCACAGGGGGTGTAGAGACAGATCCCAGGGGCTTGCTGGACAGTCAGCCTACCCAAAATGGTGAGCCCTAGGTTCAGAGACCCTTTCTAAGAAGTACGCTAGGTTACAAAATATGGCCACCCTAAAAAACCCAGGCTGTTTATCCCACTGCTCTCCAGTCAGCTGACTTTTCCCTCAGCAGAGAGAGGCCTCCACAGCCAGGGCTGCCTTCCTCACAGGGCCGAATAGCCCTGGTTTGCACACCTACTCCTATCAGCTGTGTGTCCCTAAGCCCACCTCTGTGTCTGGAGTAAGGCAGAGGCCTCAAGTGGGCCTGGTGACAGCTCTGTTTACCTAGCCACAGCCTAACCTGGGCCCATCCCAGTTCACGGTGAGTCAGCTGAACAAGGGGCGGGCACCACCCTTCCAGGAGCAGGGATCCAACTGGAACACAGGCCACCAGCACATCCCGAGAGACTCCGCAGTGGCCGGAGACAGATACACAGCATCTGGCCAGCAGGTAAGAACAGAATCTGTGTTGGTTGGGACCGAGGAGCTAAGCAAGACCTGGTCAAAGGCCACTTCTTTCCTCCCTTGTCCTGTGGTCTAGGACTTCCTGGGCAGTTCCTTTCTAAACGTGCTTTGCCCTTGGAATGCAACGGGTGCACAGCCTTCCTCTTCTGACCCCAGGCGCAGGCAGTGTCTGAAGTGAATGATTTTCTGCCCTTCTCTATACTTCTACTCCTGCCTCAAGTCTGTTCCACTGCCCCTAGCCAAGAGGCCACAAAGGCTGTGGCTCTCGGGTGCTCAGACTTCGCTAGTGGCTCTCTCACTCAAGAAAGGCCCAATTCTCACCGAGACCTTCAAGCCCTCCAGGACCTCTCTCTGGAGGTCTCCCGTCTTCGCAGGTTTCCTCCCTCGGAGTCCTTTGAACAGCTACCTTCAGTCTCAGGTCAGGGGTCCCTCCACACAGAGGACACTCTCAGTTCAGGGTGTATGCCTCCCTGCCTCCCTGGACTGCTCTTGCCCACCCTGCCCTTTAAGCTTTTGCTCAAATGCCTCTCGCCCCACAGCAAGCCTCCCCTAGTCCTACTGCCTCTCTCTGCTCTCCGTCCTGCTTCATATTCCTCTCCAGTTCTTCCCCCCACCTGGCACAGCCTACAGAGTCTTAGAGCTTTTAAATTCAGCTCTTCAGTACCAAGTCCCTGCTTCAAAGACAGTTTTGCTCACTTCTTACTGCTGCTGTCTCAAACAGTACCTGGACTTAGGGGTACTAAGAACGCATGTGTGCTGAGCAGACAGCTGGTATGGAGTTGCCTACCTGTGCTGGGCACTGCTCTAGGTGGTCTCTATGTGTATCGCATTTAGCTAATCTTCTTTTTTATCTATCTATCTATCTATCTATCTATCTATCTATCTATTATTAGCTAATCTTCTTATGCCCGGATAACTCCGCGGTGAAAGTATTATTACAAAAGAAATGCCATAGAGCCTTTCCTGGTCTCTGCTCTCACAGACGGAGGCAGTAGGTTAGGCCTCTCTCTAACATCCCAGCTTGCTCTGCCTCCCCTGGCCCTTCACTGGGGGAACAGCATTTCCCGAGTCCGGTTCCCTCTGGCACAACGCAGCCCTGAACAGAGAGGGCACATGCTTGTGGCTTAGCAACAGCCTCCTCCTCGCAGATTCACCAGATCCCTGGGCTAATCTGGCCTTACAGGAGCTATTTACTCTGCTGCAGTAACCCACGCTTCTGTGTTCTGAAGGATGGATGAGCTGTCCGCAGGAACAAGTGGGAGTCCCAGAGCTCCAGCAGCTTGGAACAAAGTGTTCTCCAAGTTCAAAGACGGGGGCTGATGGGCCCCCTTCCAGCCCTTCTGATTCCACAGGGTCTGACTGCTGATACACTGTAGGTGTTATTGTTGCTTATGATATGGAGAGCTATAGAAAGCTCTGGGATGGAATCGGAAAGGTGTGGGGAAGGAAAGTCCCTCCAGGCGCAAGGAAGAAGAAGCTAACAACTTGTGGGAACTGAACAAACTCCCTGTCACAGGACTTTCTGTGTCCCTCATTAGGGCTGTTGCTTCCCTTTCTACGCCCGGTTATTCTTCCAAGGACTTTCTACACATTGCGACTAGGTGTCAAGTGACATTCCTAGGGAGATGTGAACAAACATCTGTTCACCTCAGAACCAATGACAGACCAAATAAAAGATCCCACGTCAACAGTGGCAAAACCACAGAGTTTAGTGGGGTTGAAAGAGCCTGGGTGGCTCGAAGGCAGCTACGTCACAGAAGAGCCCACTCCAGCAAGGGTAGCGACTGCAGACTGCTCCTCGGAAGAGCCTGCTCCTCAGAAGAGCCTGCTCCTCAGAAGAGCCTGCTCCTCAGAAGAGCCTGCTCCTCAGAAGAGCCTGCTCCTCAGAAGAGCCTGCTCCTCAGAAGAGCCATCTCTTCCCTGACAATTGCTCACTTGCTTATATAACCTCGGGGAGGGCTTTGTGGGTCACACCTTTCTGAGCCTCTCAGAGTCTCCTGTGTTTCCTTAGGTTTCCCACTCCCTTCTGGGTTGGGGCTGTTGTTTCAGTTGGGAGGAAATAGTGGCTCACTAGGTGTCAGAATTCTCTTCCCAGTGCCTGCTTTTCTCCTCCTCTAACTTTAGGAAGACTCTGGGCTTGGCCAGTGAGGATGACAGGCAAACTCAACAACGTGGTGGGATTTCAGTCCCAGGGAAAAAAAGCCTGGCTCAGTGCTTCCCAAACATCTGTCGAGTGAATAATGACTAGGGATACATGAGATGCTGTGGTCTAGGGGGAAGAGCTTTGAAGAACCTTGGAGGCTGTGTGTGGGTAGGATATTTTAGAGGGAGGCTTAGAACAGAATGGTTCGCCACATGAACTGTGGATGGCATTCAAGACAGGGAATAGCACTGCAGAGCATGCACGCACGGGGAGCGGGCACGGGGGAGCGGACACGGGGAACGGGCAAGGGGAGCAGGCTGAGTTCTAGAGCAGCAAGCCGTGTGAAATGAATGAAATGCAGTGAGCGACAGAGACTTGCCCGCCAGGAGCCACTCAGGGCATTTTTGAAGTCTGAGATTAATTCTGATGTCAAGAGCTAGGGGTCGCTTCTCCCAGAAGGTAAAGGCAGGGGCTGACGGTAACTTCCAGATTTCTGGCGCAGCCTGTGGGTGTATTTGGTGGGGCTGCTGTCAAGATTTGGGGAAACTTCCAGAAAGTCTCTTGAAGGTAATAAATATCCAAACAGCAGGTGGAACTCCCTAGCCAGGAATAGTCTACTCTCCCTTCACTGGCCTAAACTCCCCATCCTTCATGGGCATAGGCGGGTCTTCTCCCGCGGAGATGGCCTTCCTTGCGTTTCCAGCTAATCCCCTGCACCCCCTGGAGTCCATTGCCTGAGTCCCTTATGAAGGGTGATCAATCTGACTGTCTGTGGAAAGTGATCCCTCAGCCAACTCCACTTCCCTGGGCAGCAGGCAGCCAATAGTTTCATCACTGGTGGTTGGTGCCTGTGTGTTTGGGGGGGGGGGGGTGCATTTTCAAGCAGGGCAGGTCAAGAGTCAGGGTCAGGCCGGAATCCTGAGAGCGTGGGAGAGAGGGCAACATCAGAGGCAACACCTAGGGATTTGAAGGCGCTTCTAAACTAAAAGGGAGAGGGACTCTCCTTTTCAGAACGAGCAGCGGGGCCCGGTGTGAACTCTGTTCTCCTCTCCCGTCCACTGCTGCCTTAGTGCCCAGTAAGTCAAGCGGGGTGACCAGCTACGACCAACAAGGGGCTCTAGGGAGAAGCACCGGCTCTGAATCTCTTTGGGTACACACGAGGAGGAAGGGCTGCAGAGCCTGACTGGTCTTCGCGTCCGGTACTCTGCTGTGTTGCTGGACTCAGGATACCGACGCCAGAAGGAGATCAGAGGCTGGGTGGATTCTACTAGCACCTTCTGCAACTCAGCGGCAATAGGTTGCTATGGTGGCTCTGCAGCCGCGGGGTATCCTGGGAGCCCCCAGCGAGAGGGCCGGGCACGCATGCGTCATTGGCACCGCACGCAAGCGAGCGGGGTTTCTGTTTTAACCCACACGGATGACGCGGTTTCCGGCTGGGCTCTGAGCTTTGGGATTGCGAAGTGTAGGCCGCTTGTGGGGTGGGTGGTCATGGAACCGTGTGACGTAGGTGCGTACGGAGGATGGTCCCTGGACAGTTGGAACGCTCCCGGATCCTTAATGCGTGAAGTGTGCAGAGTCTGTGCTTACTCACTTCCATTTCTAGAGAGAAGGGACGGGTCACAGGGTTCGTCTTTGAGTTACAGGCAAGGACGCCTTGTAGTGAGGGGAAGAACAGCAACTTGCAATAAAAGAATACCCACCAAGCAGCCTGCAATAGAAGACTGCACGGCCCCTTCTAGGGGACTCTGGACCTCTTTTCTCTCAGAGGGCAGCTGCAAAATGCGCCTGCTCTATTGCTGTACTGTTAGAAAAAGGTAGACATAGTTGGGGGAGGGGTGCACAGCTTTAATCCCAGCCTCGGAAGGCAGAGGCAGGCAGATCTTTGATTTCGAGGCCAGCCTGGTCTACAAAGTGAGTTCCAGGACAGGCTCCAAAGCTACACAGAGAAGCCCTGGCTCGAAAAACAACAATAACAACAGAACAACAGAAAAAGGTAGACAGGGTGGTCTCTTAGGTTCGTATTTGTGCAGTTCCTACTCCTGGTGGCAAAGCAAATTTGGTATATGGTAACTGCTGGGCATTATTTCAAGGTTAAAAGCCACCTGGAGGGTGCTCTGTAGGGCAGGTTCCAGAAGAAGTTTTCCCTTAGCAGATCTAAAAGGTTAGAGTCATGCTGGCCCGTTCTCCCGGGAATTCTTGTCTTAGGATAGTCATTCTTGCCCCCAAAGACTAGCTTAGGACTGAGGACCGCAGCTGTCTCCTCCAGCAGCCAAGGAGTCCTGGCGATGTTACTTCCCTGGTCAGCTATTTATATTTTTCAGTACAGATTAGCAATGAACTTCCTATTTTCAGATTCTCTGACACAGATTCATGTCAGAGAAGAGGGGCTGCAAGCAGTTGGGTAAGTTGGGCACAGTGTTGGAAAGAAGCCGACACAAAAGTGCCCTTCAGGAATAAACTTTGTTGGGGGGAAAGCCTTGAGATCACAGGAGCCATGGCCAGGCCTTGACAAGGGAGAGCATTCGGAAGGATGGTGTCTTCTACTAAAAACAACATGATTAGGGCTTCCCTTCAAAACCTGGAGAGGGAACGAGAGAGACAGAGGCAGAGGCAGAGGCGGAGAGAAACTGTCATGGACAGATCAGGGAGGCGAGAGCTGTGGGAAACTATTTGAGTTTTATGTCCTTTCAGAGAGTGGCAGAAAGTGCCACACCACATGATTCAGTCTTGGAGAGACCATGTGACAAGGAGCACAGAGGAGCTGGGTTCTGGGTAGGATCATAAATCAGGCTGAAGGATCTGGTCCCCTAGAGTGATCATCTTAAAGGGGCAGGCCCATAATCTGACAATTCATATTTAAGGAACTACACAGGATTAAGGCACACAAGGTGGGGGCTGGGGAGATGGCTCAGCAGTCAAGAGCACTGGCCATTCTTCCAGAGGACCCAGGTTCAATTCCCACCACTCACATGGCAGCTCACAACTGTCTGTCACTCCAGTTCCAGGGCACCTGACACCCTCATACAGACGTACATGCAGGCAAAACACCAATGCATATTTTAAAAACAAAAAAGCCTCACAAGGTGCGTTTAGACCTCTGGTTCTTGGTTCCATTCTTAAGAAGGGCATGGCCTTGAAATAACAGAACTTTGCTTTACAAGGGGGAAGAGTGGAAGTTCAGATGTATTGCCTCTGCTATATCATTGCATTATCCTCCATGCACAGGGTTCGAGGCATTCTGCAGCCAATGAGAAGGCCCTCTTGGGACTCCCAGTCTAACAAACCGCGAAACAAGTAGAGTCAACTACAAGACTGGTTAATAAACAGGATAAGGACACAGGGGGAGCACTACGGCATGGACCAATCAAAGCAGGCTTCCTATGTGAAGGATCCAATGGTTTTAGACTTGAGAATTGTTAGGAATGAGCTGGACAAGGACCAGAGGTTGCGACTCAGACAGTCCCTGTCAGACAGAGGGACTACCACTCTAAGGCTGAGAGACAAGGGAGAGAGTGACATCCATGCCGGTATCTGAAAATATTTCTTTGTTGCAGCAGTTGAAAGTAGGGGTTGGGGGAACAGAAAGATGTGGAACTGGGGAGTGAAGTCGAAATGGCAAACAAAAATCTATTGGAACTCAACGCCAGTGAATAAAGTGGCTTGGGTATAAGAAGCGATGGAGAGTGGTGGCCGCGCACACTGGAGTCTGGGGATGTTCAGCTGAAGCTTCAGTTGCCAAAGCTTCCTGCTTTTCCAGGACCAATGAGAAGGGTAGCATCTACAATTCTGCATTTAAGCAGCAAATTGTTAAGTATTCTGCAAGGTCAAGTACAATTTCCTTATATGTGGCCCTTGAACCACCAGTTCCATTCCAGAGAAGATTTAGGAAGCCCTTGGGGCCATTTTAGGAAATATAGGCTATGTTCCAGGGAAGCTAATGGTGTGTGTGTGTGTGTATGTGTGTGTGTGTGTGTGTGTGTGTGTGTTGGCTATTTCCATGTCAACTTGACACAAGCTAGGGTTGTCTGAGAGGAGGGAACCTCTGTGAGAAAATGCCTCCTCCATAAGATCTGCTGTAGGCAAGCCTGTCGAGCATTTTCTTGATTAGTGGGTGGTTTGGGAGGGCTCAGCCCATTGGTGGGTAGGTCCACTCCTGGGCTGATGGTCCTGGGCTCTATAAGAAAGCAGGCTGAGCAAGCCATGAGGAACAAGCCAGTAAGCAGCACTCCTCCATGGCCTCTGCATCAGCTCCTGCCTCCAGGTTCCTGTTCATTTTGAATTGCTACCTTGGTGTCCCTCAATGGACTGTGATTCCGAATATGAAAGTAAGAGAAACCCTCTCCTCCCCAAGTTGCTTTTGGTCATAAGTTGCTGTGTTTCATGACATAATTAATAAACCTAAGGCAGAACTTGATAGCAGGATTGTGGGCTATTGCTGTGGTTTACCATATTTTGGGGAGGATTGTGGAAGGGCTTTGGCACTTCGGGCTGGAAAAACCATCGAGTGTTCAGAGTTTGGTGAGCTACTGAGAGAACTTGAAGGTTAGAGGATAGTGCCGAAAGCAGTGAAGATGGCGGAGACCTGGCTTGCGAAGTTTCCGAGAGAAGCAAAGGCCCTAGTGGGACCGTTTGATATTTTGAATTAAGAATGTGGTTCTGGCCAGCTGGGACTAAAGACTCAGCTGTAAATAGTAAGAGACCAGCGCCACTGAAGTAAATAACCATCACTTCCTCGGCCAGTAGATGCTGGCCAGCTGGAACTGAGAATCAGAGGGGATTAAGAGACCTGCGTTAGTCAGGTGAGATCTGGGAAGCGTTTCCTGAGATCAGCACACAGAAGCTGTTTTCTAGACTCAGCCAACGCTGGCAAGCAGCACTCCTCCAAGGCCTCTGCATCAGCTCCTGCCTCCCAAGAGGCCTGGGGCTTCAAACAAAGCCACGATATCCTGGCCTCATGCTTTAAAAGGCCTGCTGCCTACTGTCTGGGGAGCAGAGAAAGAGGAAGCCATGGCCTATTTAGGGGATTCTGTGGCATTGATGAGCGACAGAACAGTGAAGGAGGTCTGTATGGCAGAGACGTGGGTGGGAGGGACTTGATACTACATGGGAAGGGTGGGGGGAGGGTAGCTAAGGTGGACATGGCTTGAGACAGCAGGTACAGAGGGAGAAGTGACTCATGAGAATGGCCTCAGAGCCCTGTGGGTCATGCAGGGTCATGGGGCTGGTTTCACACATCATGGTGCAGCCTAATCAGTTCCCTATGCCACTTCCTGGCATTCCTGTTACATGTGGGCCAGAAGGACATACCTTGACCATGAATAGTGGCCATGAACTGGGAAGGCACAGGATAGCTGAATTCGAGGTGGGTTTATAGCTCAGAGCCTATCCTGATGATAGGGCCCAGTGTGCAGGGCAGTGACCTTTACCTAGGAGGCAGGTCCAGCAAGAGGGAGGTGACAGGGAGGTAGGGTGTGGTATCCAGCTGGAGTGAGTGGCTTGCTTGGCAGAGGGCAGGAAGTATGACAGAGTCAGGGGTGCCAGATGATGACGTAAGTCACAAAACAGTCCCTCACCAGATCAGAATTATGAGTAATAAAAGGGTTATTTATTTAAGGGGAAAACTTACAGATCGCTTAGACTCCATAGGATAGAATGTTTATTAAAACATTTAGCATAAGTTCCTTGCTTAATATTGTTTATGCTGGTTGTAATTCTAATTATACTTGATATCTGTTCCTAGTGCATATAGTTTTGTATTGGGTTTGGAATTCTCTTATTTAAACAAAAGGGGGAGGTGCTGTGGGAACACATTCCGCTCCTTCAGCCAATAGCCTTTAAGATACCAGCCCACTTGGGCGTGGTCTCTTATACTGTAAAAGCAGCGGTAAACATGCGCCCACTCTCATGCTTCTGTCTCCCGCTTTGGGTGCTAGACTCTGTTCCTGTTTGCACAGAGGACTGTTATCTAGGACAGTGATCTGTAAGTTTTCCCCTTAAATAAATAACCCTTTTATTATTCATAATTCTGAACTGGTGAGTGATTATTTTGTGATTTAGGTATCAATGATGTTCCATCGCAGCAGCAACAGCCCTGCCTAAGATGGTGGTACACTGTGGAGCTGAAACACTAATGATGGAAGGAAGGGCTGGGAGTGCCTAGAGTCTCCCGCCTTTCTGTTTCAATGCTAAGTCCCAACCTGCTTCTGGTTGTGAGTGGTACTGTGCCAGCTGCCAGCCCCACCTGGTGTGCAACAGCTGCTCCATGTGCACCTGCTGAATTGGATGTGGATGAGGAAAACTCAGTGGTTCACCTAACCTTTGACACATGGCCCTTGACCCTGCCTCTTCTGGCTACATCTTGAATGATCCACTAGGTTTGGTTTCTAAGGTTCAGGATCAGTCAGATGTGGGATTTTGTGGGTGGAGATTATGAGCTTGAGAAACAGACTGCTGCTCCTTAAATTGGGACAGCAACTCCTGGTGGTGGTCTTAGAGCGCTGTGGGGTACAGGTGGCAGGAGCCAGCTATCCTGCATTTTTTTCAGAAGGTTGGGAGCCGCATCCTCAACCTTCCTCACCCTCTCTGCTCTACAGGGTGTTTCGAGGAGCAGGTATGTCTGTCCTGTACCCATCTCTGGAGGACCTGAAGGTGGGCCAAGTCATCCAGGTAAGGAAACAGGCTCCATTCGTCTAGAGTCCTTTATGGTGACCTTTATGGTGACCTTGGGAATTAGCCCAAATAACTAAAGCTTGTCTTGGGGGATGCTGGGTACTGGGAGCCCTTGGGAAGTCCTTGGAAGCCCTGGGACCAGCGCAGAGGCTGATGCAGTGGCTCTCAACCTGTGAGTCGAGACACCTTTAGGAGCTGAATGACCCTTTCACTGGGATCATCTAAGACCATCGCAAAACACAGATGTTTACATTACTATCCATAACTGTAGCAAAAATGACAGTTATGAAGTAACAACAAAAATAATTTTATGGTTGGGGGGGTCACCACACATGAGGAACTATATTAATGGGTCACAGCACAAGGAATGATGGGAACCACTGGGTTGATGGGTAGAGGGGAGAGTCCAGGAGTCAAGGCCCATTGAGAGGAAGAAAAAGCAGCCACAGTCATGTGGGTTCTGGCACTTCCGCATCCTCTGAAGGAGCACCCCAGGTGCCAGCCAGTTTCCCCAGGAAATGCAGGGTTCAGTGTGCTCAACCCCAGACAGCCTCTTCCAGCCCCTCTGAGTTCCTAGAAGTCTTTGGGAATTTCAGCCTTTCCCTCTGAGAACTCGGTGGGGAGTTGGGCTTTCATGCTTTGGCTGCCATGGGAAGAAAATAGTTGGCTACAGGCCCCAGAGAAATGCATGCCAGAAAGATGCATGTCCAAAGAGGGCACATGAAGAAAGATTTATTTACTTTTCTACTTTTTATATGTGTTTTCCCTGCATGAATGTATATGTACCATGTGCATGCCTGGTACCCACAGAGGCCGGAAGAGGGTGTCAGATCCGCCGCAACTGAATTTATAGATGGTTGTGAGTTGTGATGTGGGTATTGGGAACTGAACCCAGGTCCTCTGCAAGAGCAGCAAGTACTCTTGGCTGCTGAGCCCCATTTCTCATAAGCCAGAAGCATACTATTTTTATTTTTAATTGACACTTTGTGGCTATGCATATTTGCGGGTGCGTGTGACTTTTCCACCTGTGTACACTGTACTGGTCAGATAGGGTGTGGGGGGCTGGCACATCGATCATTCCAGGCTTATGTCAGTTCTTTGGGCTTGGAATACTCATCCTCCTCCGAGCTATTTCGGAATATTAGCCATTGCTGGCTGTGCATCGTAGTTGCTCCACTGAGCTACAGAGCACGATCCATGTAGCTCTGGTGTGAGTGAGCACAGGCAGTATTTGACTTTGTATACCTGGCTTACACACATGCACATGTAGCGGCTACATTTCCATGTGGTCTGGAGCATCGAGCACCCCGCCACCACCTGTCTACAATCTTACTCAATGCTCAGAACAGCTAGCAACTCTCCACGTCCTTTTCAGGCCCAAGCCAGAGCCACACCCAGGATGCCTACACCGTCGACCTCCATGGCTTCTGCACCCCCGCTTTCAGGTGAGGGAGTCTGACCCCAGAGTCATGACAGCTCCAACTCCATCACACATCCCAGCACTCCCGGGCTTCTCACTAGGCGTGGAAGGCAACTTGGGGCTCCTATTCCTGGGCAGGCCCCCCTCTTCTGGGTGTGTGCGCTGTCCTGACCCTAAGGATGTGGCCTGGTATTCTGGCCATTTCTCACCTGTCACTTGGTGGGGCTCGTGTACAATTCACCTTTACCCTTTGAGGAAACATTGGAGAAACCGACACTGAGGCAGAAATTGCCTGATTTGGTGCGACCATAGGCAGACCATCTGGGAAGAGCGGATTTTTGAGGTAGCCCTTATAGAAGCCCATAGTGGTCTTGGGTCAGCCCCACGAGAGAAACTGGAGCCCATGGTTCGTCTTTTCTGTGCTCTGTTGTGTCTCTGAGCTGCCCTTCGTCATGGCCTGTGGTCCCTGGTAGTCCGGCACCTGCTCTGGCTTTGTGTCCCCTGTCCAGCTTATGTCGAATCAGTTGAACTGAGCACCTCAGTGATGCCGAGGCTGCTCCTAGACAAGGGTGCTTTAGGCCTTTGGCAGAGCTGTCCTGTGCCACTGGCAAGCATCCCTGGGACACGCTACATGCTCCAGGGGATCAGGGTGCTCTTGAAGTATTCCAGATTCACTGAAAATGAATGACCCTGGCCAACCAAAGCCGGCTCTGCACAAGCTGCTGAGTGACACCTTGTCTCCTCCTTCCCACTAGAGTTGTACCCAAATTTGGCAGAATTGGAGAGTTACATGGGGTTGTCCCTTTCTAGCCAAGAAGTCCAGAAGAGCCTGCCTCAGATTCCAGATGGTGACAATGTAGGTATTTGTCTCCTGCCTCAAATGATCACTAAACATCTAGATCTTACCATTTAAGAAGGTGTGTGTGTGTGTGTGTGTGTGTGTGTGTGTGTGCGCGTGCGCGTGTGCATGTTCAGGTGTGTCAACCCAGCCATTCTTTATAACCCAGATGCACTGACCCTGACTTATGATTTTTTTTTTTTGAGATGAGTTCTCACTGTGTAGCCTTGGCTGACTTGGAAGACCATAGCTTCAAAGTCATAGAAATACCTGCCTCTACCTTCCAAGTGCTGAAATTAAAGTCATGCACCACTTCTTCTAGATTTTGTTGTTGTTGTTGTTGGAGACAGGCTTTCTCTGTGTCGCTCTGGCTATCCTGGAACTTGTTCTGTAGATCAGGCTGCCTCTGCTTCCCAGGTGCCATGATTAAAAGCATGAACCACCGCCGCCTGGCTTCCTGGATGTTTTTGAAAAAGATTTGTTTTATTATATTTTTATATATATGATTATTTTGCGGGCATATATGTGTACTACATGTGTGGTTGGTACCCAAGGAAGCCTGAAGGGGGTGGCAGACCCCTAGAACTGGAGTTCTAGAAGGTTGTGAGCCATCCTGTGGTGCTGGGAATTGCAAGAGCAGCAAGTTCTCCTAACTGCTGAGCCATCTCTCCAGTTCCAGACTCAGAAATTTTTATTATTGTACTTACTTTCAATGTTTTCAACTTTTTGTGTTTTTAAATAGTAGGTTCCTGATAACTTGCAACTCTGCTTCACCAAGTGTTGCTCTTGTAACTGCAGTATAATAGCAAGTCCAATAATTTACACTAGGAAAGTGTGTCTATAGGTCTGGGTAGGACCATCTCTCCTCAGGAAGATCTTCTATCCCTTTGTGGTCACACCTCCTCCTTCCGCCAACCCTCTAGAACTCTAGGCAACCTTCTCTTCCTTTCCTTTCTTCCATTCTTTACTCTTCCTCCTCCCTGACTTTTTATTTCTTTGGCAGTACTGGGTACCTCGTGTAAGGATGCTCTACCTCTGTGCCACACTCCCAGCCTTGTTTTCTGTCTATAATTTTATCATTTCAGAATGCTATATAAGTGAAAACCAGAAACTATGACTCTTTGGGGGGTGTTCTATGTATGTGTTAGTTGTGTGTCTGTGAATGTGTGTGCGCGCACACATGCAGACTAGGGTTGATGTCTTGCTCTAGCCCTTTGCACCTTTATTTTTTGAGACAGGGTCTCACACTAAACCTGAAGCTCATCGATTCAGCCAGGCTGGGTAATGAATGGCAGGGATCCTCCTGTCTCTGTCTCCCCAGCTCCCTCGCACCGGGTGATAGATGCATGGTCATGTGCCTAGCTTTTGATGTGGATCCTGAGAATCTGAATTCAGGTTCTCATGTGTGCATAGCTGCTGCTTCTTACCTGACAAGGACAATTTTATAGTCTCTAACAATTGCATACAGAGCTGTTATATAAAGACTGTCTTATAGATACAAGTTTCCTTTTTTGGCATAACAGGCTGGAATCTGCAATTGCTGCACAATGTGTTAAGTATATGTTCACAGGCAGCTGTCAGGCTATTTTCTGGAGGGGCTGTGCATTCTCCTCTCCTGCCAGTGGTGCCAAATGCCTGGTGTCTTTGCATCCTCACCAGCACTCGGTGTCACCACCAATTATGACGAGTCTTCACCTGCATTTTCCTAATGGCTTTTCTGTCTCCTAGGAGGAGCCATTCATTAATTTTTATTCTTGGTTCAAGACAAAGTCAAACCTAGTCTTTCATTTTCATGGCGCATCATTTGCTGTGAAAATGTCCTTGTTTTAAGTGAATTGTAAGTGGATCTCTTCTTGATATTCATTTCCTTTGTGGGCAAAGAAATGGTCTTGTGGTTGAGATCTGTGGATGTGCCTGGTCTCAGCATATTTTTATGAAGTTGTTTCAACCTGAATCACAATTTAAGAATTATTTGTTCTTCAGATGCCTCACTTGAAATAAATGTGTATTGAAGCCAAGAAAAAAAAAAAAAAGGAAAATAAAGGAACCTTTCTCTCTTCCTGAACCCAGTTTCCTTTCCCTTTCCTCTCATGTTTAGGAGTATGGATTGTGATGCCCTCTAGTGGCAGCATCAAGCTCAGTTCCTTTTCAGCCTCTGCAAAGTGTGTGTGTGTGCATGTGTGTGTGTGTGTGTGTGTGTGGGTGTGTGTAACTTGGACTGTTTCAATATCTTACTCATCCTTCCTGGAACCCAGAGACCCTTGAGGCACGGGCCCCAGGTGCTTGGCTAACTCCCCATTACTATGTCTGCAGATGATGGTCACTAGCCCTGGGCCTGGCCAGGTGGTAGCACCAGTCTCTGGGAACAACCTGGGTGTGTTGCGTGCAGAGATCAAGCCCGGAGTGCGTGAGATCCATCTGTGCAAGGATGAGCGTGGCAAGACTGGACTGCGCCTGCAGACTGTTGACAAGGTAATTCAGGTCTGCGGAGGAGCTCCATGGAGGGCAGTGTGCCCCTCTGGTGCTAAATAGCACTTGTCACAGCCCCAGGGATACAAGCTTCCCTTTGGGACAGTTTCCAGGCAGTCTGAGATGGCGAAGTGTACAGGGACCTCCCCTCCCAGGGCTTAGAGAGCCCCACAGTAAGGAAGGTTGAAAGCGGGCACCTTAATATCGGGGGCCTCAAGGCTGAGCCTAATTGCAGCAGGAATCCTCTGTAAGTCCCATACTAGGCTCCTTTTTCTCAGAGCCCCCATTTCCTGCACCCCAACTCCCATGGGTCTGGCTTCCTGATGACTGCAGAGAAAGCCAGCCAGATGCCTTTGGGAAGGGTGCTACAGGAGAATTGAGTGTAATGCTGAAATCCCAATTCGGCGTACTCTGTGGGTTCTGGTGTGTTTTTTCCTCCAGGAAAACAGGGGTAACCTGCATATTCCCCTGCAGATCTTAGATCCCACTACACTGTAAGCTCACAGGGTAAGGGGGAAAGAACATCTTAGAGGGGCCAGGGGTGCTGACTCTGGAGTCTTGCTTCCCAGGGGCTCTTTGTGCAGCTGGTTCAGGCCAATACCCCCGCATCCCTTGTGGGGTTGCGCTTTGGGGACCAGATCCTGCAGATTGATGGGTGTGACTGTGCAGGGTGGAGCACACACAAAGCTCACAAAGCCTTGAAGAAGGCATCGGCTGAGAAGATCGTCATGATTGTGCGGGACAGGTCAGTAGCCAGGTCCCAGCATCCTCCCTGCCTGATTCCGGCCACACCCACAGGCCCAGCTTACTGTTACTCTCTACCAGGCCATTCCAGCGGACTGTCACGATGCACAAGGACAGCTCAGGCCAAGTTGGCTTTTTCATCAAGAAGGGGAAGATTGTATCTGTGGTAAAGGGAAGCTCCGCAGCCCGTAATGGACTTCTCACCAACCACTATGTGTGTGAGGTGAACGGACAGAACGTGATTGGGCTGAAGGTAGGCAGTGGCATAGCTCTGCCGTGAAATGCAGGCACTGTGGAGATGGTGGGGTTGGGACGGCTCCTGTCTGCGTAGGCTGTAGAACCTGCCAACGCCTCAACATCCCCATCCTAAGGTAGATGGGGACTTCAGTAGTATGCTGTGTGCGTGGCGCTCTGAGCAGTGTCAATCAGAATGAGCCCGGAAGAATTCACTCTAGTTACTAGCATGCAAGATAAGATGTGCTGGTGTGGGGGGGTATTGTCATGTGTGAGGACGTGGGCTCGCAGGTGGCTGCTGGCCACAAGGGCACCTCCTCCTCTGTGCGGTGCTTCTGTTTGGATGCTGATCACATTCAGTAATGGGGTTTCCTTTAGAAAACTGTGATTTGGAAATCCGTTTCTGGCCTTGACTTATTCAGGGAGGGTAGGTGAATTCTATCTTTACAGAGCAAGAAGGTACACACGGCTGTAGGCCCTTGCTGTAGATGTGGGAAGAGAGGTGTCTTCTGGGAATGGGCAGTGATGAGCTGTGGTTTGAGACTTGAACAAGTAAGGGCAACTCAGTCCTGACTCACGCCACTACGGTGGGGGTGCCTCTCCATCCCATAGTGCTCGTGGGGCAGGTGGTGGCATCTCACACCTGCAGACACACACAGGTGGGCCCCGTGTCTCCCACAGGAGCCCACATGTCAGCAAAGCAAAATGATGGTCACTAGGACCTGATCAGGGACCAGAGGCTTGTTACCGTAATTGTAGTCATTTGTCTGGTGAACACTGTTTGCATAAAGACTGTTGTTTTCTTCATGGTCTTACTAGTCAGGAGGTATAGGTGAGGACCCATGTGGCTGGCTCAGTCTGGTGAGCCAGCAGGAACCCGAGGACACACGTAGGTGGACCTAGTGTCCCCCACAGAAGCCTACATGTAACTGTGGCCGAAGCTGGAGAACCACATTTTGGGGGTAAGGCCAAGAATGGGAGGCCAGTGCCATGGTCCTGTGACCCTGCCAATTCTCAAATGAGAGGAACAGTAGCTTCCCTGAGATGTCCAGGGTCCCGGGCAGCCAGCTGCTGCAGGCAGGTGTGAGGTGTAGATGGTGTCCTCTAGGGACAGCCATGCTGAGCTACCTACCAGTCAGGTAGCAGTGCTATTCTTGCTCCCCACGATGACCAATCATTTTCCTTCTCTTCAGGACAAAAAAATTACAGAGATCCTGACTACAGCTGGAAACGTCATCACACTGACCCTCATTCCTACTGTGATCTATGAGCACATGGTCAAAAAGTAAGGCTGTTAACCCATCTCTGCCCTCTGCTCTCTCTCCATCTCCTTTGCCCTGGCAGCTTCGGTGCTGACCCGGAGCTCTGTCCGCTTTGTTCTGTCTTTGACTCTTCTTCAGTTCATGGTGGCTAGTGGCTTCTCATGACTTGAGATCCTTAGAAGTGGGGGATGAGGGGAGCGGGCAGGCTGGGGTGGGGGTGAAGGACAGCTGCCAGTTTCAGCCGCTGTCATCTTCGCCCTGTCTAGGTTATCCCCGTTGCTGCTGCAGCATACCATGGACCACTCCATTCCAGACATCTGAAGTCACAGGGCAGCCCAGGCCTCCCACCATTCTGCAGTGAAGATGGCAACAGTTGCAGATGGTTTGCTGCTCGGGTCTGGGCGTTTCAGGGGCATGTCCCAGGGGGATACATAGTGGATGAGTCTGTCATTGCTGTTTCCTGACTCCTTGGATCCTGATTCCTAGCTATGCTGCGGCACAGGTGTGACGCAGGCACTTGGTTCTCTGTGCTCCAGGTGCTGGGCACTTAGGCAGAACAGCAGAATGTCACCGAGTGCTGCTGGGTCCCTTTGCAGAATTTTGCCTCTTCTAGAAGTCAGTCACTTGACAGAGGAATTCCTTGTGTGTTGCCTTCATTGATCTTTATCACAGATGTGTATAGATCACTTGTGTAACCCTTGACTGTCTGTAGGTTAGTTGTGACTCTTGACTGTATATCTGTAGGTTAGTTGTGACCCTTGACTGTCTGTTGTAGGTTAGTTGTGACCCTTGACTGTCTGTCTGTAGGTTAGTTGTGACCCTTGACTGTCTGTTGTAGGTTAGTTGTGACCCTTGACTGTTTGCTGTAGGTTAGTTGTGACCCTTGACTGTCTGTCTGTAGATTAGTTGTGACCCTTGACTGTCCGTTGTAGGTTAGTTGTGACCCTTGACTGTCCGTTGTAGGTTAGTTGTGACCCTTGACTGTCCGTTGTAGGTTAGTTGTGACCCTTGACTGTCTTTTGCATAAAGACTGGATTTTAAACACAGCAACTTCCATTAAAGTTCCTGGAAATTCCAGAATCCCAGGTCCCATGACATGGGGCATGACAAGGCTGCTTTTCCTTTTGGACAGTGACCAGGCCATGGCATTATCTGTGTCTCTGAGAGCAGCAGTCTGTGTGTTGTGGCATGCTTGCCAGTCTGTCATACGATGTTGGCGCTGAGGGTCAGGTGGCTGTGGAATGGCAGGGACAGGCTGACTTTGGGACCCTGCTTGAATGGGCATGGTTGTTTTTGTAGCTACAGAATGGGCCAAAGAAGCCATTTCAGGACTGCTGGGAAGAACTGGAATATTGTCCCAGTGCTGGGCAGGATGTGACCTGGGATCAGGGTGGGAATTTTAGATCCTGTACCTAACCCCTGATGGGCAGAGAGGCCTGAGTCCTACACATCAGGGCCTGGTGGGGCTGAGCCAGCCAATAACTGGTTCCATCTGTGTTGGGTGCCATGGTGAGCTTCTCACCCACCCTAGCCCACTTAGAGAAATGACACAGTACAAAGACACCAGGCTGAGGGGCTGTGTGTGTCTTCATGCTTTAATTCAGAGCTGTCTGCTACAGGCACAACTCTGTCTGAACAAAAAGACAAAGGAGACCGAGAGTCAGGACCCCACCCCACAGCTCCCCTCCTGTGTCCCCTGTGAGAGTGCACGGTGGCCTGTTTGTGTTGTCATCTAGTTCAGAGGGGACTGAATTCCCTGGTGGAGGCCCCTCAGTCGCCTTTGGCCCTAGAGCCTGGGATCTGCTGTCTGCGCAGGTGGGAAGGGGTCTCAGTGAAAAGCTATGGATGCTACCTGCTTGAAGACATTGGTCACGAACTCTGCTCAAGAGTGCCTCTGTTCAGAAGTCCTCACTGAGCCCTGACAGAGGGCTCCAGAACTAAGGAGCCACAATTTCAAGCCACTCCGCTCCGAGGGCTCAGTAGTTAGAGAAGGTAGTTCCTGGGTACACTTCCTCAAGACCTTGTCAGCTCTGACTGGAGGCAGGGGACAGGAGCACCCTAAACATTTCTGCTCCAGGAGCCAAGGGCAAGAGGGCAACTCGCAGCCTATGGGGGTGGCCAACTGGAAGGAAGGGGGGGGCTTTGGGAATGAGCATCTACGAGGGAGCCTGGCCCAGTCCCAACTTGCTCTCAGCCCCCTTCTTCACGTCTGGAACCAGCAGGCTGCTGAAGTGTCTACCTCCAAGCCCACCTCCTGGCATCGCAGCCCCTTTTTGCAGATACGCGACTCTGAGCTTATATACACTTAGGAGCAGGGCCTGTACCCCAGCCTGCAGGGATCCAAGCTCACCCAAGGACTGGGTAGTAATCTGCTCACTCCACTGGCAAGGAGCAGAGCCCTTCTGATAGGCAGAACTCCCAGAAGAGGACCCCTGCGAGGCGGGGCTAGGGTCGGAGCAGGAGCAAGGACAGTCAGTTTCACTTACTGCCTCTACAGACCCGGGCACTTTGCAATGGCTTCTCCAGCAGCAGGAACAGAGTGGACCGCAGTTCTAACCCTGCCCAAGTTCACCAAAAACACGAGACACGACAAGAAGGCCCAGACAGCAAGACATGGAACAGAGAGGGGCTGTGAAGTTGGACTAAATGCCAGTGGTGAAAAATATATGGATTTATGTTGTCAAATATAGTTCATACATTTATTTTCTCAGCAGAGCCTCGACTGTTGCTAAGGAGACATATGGAGCTCCAGGAGTGCACGGCGCAGGAGGCTGGGTCCGTAGCCAGTCCTGGCTTGGCTTTGGATCAGTTTTATCCCGTCTCTCCATGGCACCACCCCAGTGTCCTATGGGGCAGCCCCAGCGAGGCCTCAGGCATTTGGGTTTGGTTCAGCTGGGGTAGGGGTGCTCCACCAAGGACGTCTGGTCTGAGGCCTCAGCCAAGGTGGGGGAGTTTTGGAGGCACAAAGCGCGTGGCAGAGGGCTCTTGCCCTGATGGCTAGGCTGGCTGCCCACTCCCAGTGCATGCAGGTGCCCTCGGGGGAGGGCACAGAGTGGAGGGGCAGAACTCATGAGTCAAGTAGTGGCCACTGGGGCAACGGCGAGGGCAAGCGACCTTAGCAGAGAACCAGAGAGGCTTCTAGGTCAGAGAGTGAGATGCAGGCTTCTACCAACTCCCCGGTGTGGGCCAGTCAGGTCTGACCTCTCTGGGAAGAAGAGGGAAGTGAGGATCAGGGCATCTTCCCAGGCTGACTGGGCCTGGACCAGAAGCAGCCCAGGCAGGCTCCCACTGCCTGGCCACGCCCCTGATTAGGAAACATGCCCAGGGGACCCTGCTTTGGCATGGATAGGCAGATGCTGTGACTTCAGAACCCCCTTCAGATTCCTCCAGATGGCCACCTTCCCCTGGAGACAGCTGGGTCAGATTCAGAAACCCTCATCCCAGAAAGCAAGCCATTTGGGGGTTCTGGGTTGAGCAGGAAACCAAGACCCTAAGGGAACCAAGTGCAAACATAGGTAGGGCCAGGCCAAAGGGGCCTGGGGCAAGGGGCCCCTGACTTTCCCAAATTGCTGAGGTACCTCTAGGCTACAGATGAGATGACTCATCTCAGAAGGTAAAGGGCCCTAGAGCTGCTCGCCTTGCCTTCTCTGTGCTGACGGATTCACCCAATGGAAGCTGGGGCTTGGGGAAGCGCTCTCTCCCAATCCATAATTAGTGTGTCAGGGGTAGCAATGGGCATTGGACAGCTCATGAAGATCAAACACACCCAGGAGCCAAGAGGAAAACGGACTGTGGGGGAAAGGCCTGGAGGACAGACAGACAGACACAGAACCTACCCTGCCTTCTCCCCCTCCTGCCTGAGCTGGTCCTTCCAGCTGGATCGTACTTTTGCATCCCAGGACAAGGGAGGAGAGGCTGGAGCTTCAGTGGGACCTGGGCAGCCAGACCCTGCCTGGAGTGGTTCTCTGCATTTTGAGTCCTGGCTGCCTCCATTTGAGGAGCTAATACTGGTCCAGGAGCCAGAGGAGAGGGCAAGGGGTGGCCTGGGAGAGAAGACACGGACTGGGCTGGGTGCTGGAAAGGATGGTGCAAGGGAAAGGCAGGTCCCCAGATCAACACAGCCCAAGACTTTCCGAGCAGGGCCTGCCTTGTCTGAAGTCTGGGTGGACAGAGGGGCCAGAGGGGAGCTCTTACCAGTATCTCCCTCTTCAACTGGCCACCTTTACCTCTTCTCTCAGGCTTTGGGACTGCCTTCCTGAGGCCCTGACACTATGAACATCTGGGGTGGGGGCGCTATTCCAGACCTGAAAGTAAATTAAGAGGATGCCCATGGGGGTGTGAGGGCAGCAAATGGCATCCTACAATCAGTGGTCACGCTGCCAAAAGCGGAGGGCTGGCAGCCACCTCAGAGCTGGGAGCCGCCCGCTGAGCTGGGGCTTGGCTGGCTGAGTGAGCGGCAGCTGATCCTACGGATGGAGTGCAAGGCCACTGTGCAGCAGCCCCGCAGCAAGGAGCTGATGTTGTAAATGGGCTGGCCCTGGCGCCTCTGGGAGCGGCAGAGCCAGGCCACTGTTGGCACAGCCGGCACTACCACAGCCAGCAGATCCACAATGTAGTGGCGGCTCCAGTAACTCTTGGGTTCCTTTTCAGAGGCAGCTGCCTCCTCCTCCTCTTCCACGGGACACACCACACTCACTGGTAGTCCCGGGTTGGAGTTGGCTGCAGGCCGGTGTGTAGTTGGCCCACAGGTGATGGGCTCTGGGGCCTCAGGCTCGTCACCCACTGTCACCACCACTGCTGAGTTGGGGTCTCTGGGCCCTGAGGGGTGGGGATCCAGCTCTGAGTGCCTGTCCTTGGGGACTGTCCCACACACCTGAGCCTGGCCTACTTTCTCCAGGATGGTGTCCAGGTCAGGCTGGTACTGCACGAAGTCTGTCTGGATGGCCCGCTCCTGCATGCAGCTGGCTTGCACACCGGCCTCCATGCCGCACAGGAGCTTCTCGTAGGTGTTGCTGGCAGGGAAGCGAGGGCCCAGGTTGAAGGAGCTCTGCAGCGAGGCTTCCTCAAGGCCACAGTCCACTCCTGACGACAGCAGGCTGCTGGCCTCCAGGGCGTCCGTCCGACTCAGTGTGTCGTCAGCAGCCACAAATCCACTGTCAGCTCCATCCTCAGCAGAGGTGCTGGAGGGATCCCCTGGCTGGCGGTCACCACAGACAGCTGGGTCACTCAGCTTGGTGTAGGTGGAGCTGCGGGTGAGGGAGCGTGCCGGGGACCCACCAGCCGACTCCCCCGTTCCTTCCTCCTTGGCTATTCCATTCTGGGCTACTTCCATGCTGTGCAGCAGCGTCTCTAGCTTCTTGTTCTGGATATTGATATCCACGAAGTATTTCTGTAGCCCTTTGTCCTTGTCAATCAGGTTGTTCTTGACGGTGTCAATGACCTGCTTGAGCTGCCGGATCTCCTTGCGGGCCTCTTTCAGAGCCAACTGGGCTTCCACACGGTGGCACTCCTCCTCAATCCAGTCCTCCTGCATGCGAGACAGCTGAGTCTTCAGGTCATCGATCTCCGTGTCCCTGTGAGCAAAGGAAACACGCTAGCTCTATAGCCTGGCCTCCTGACCTGTCATTGCTGCTGTAGAGAGACAAGGGGATGTCACCAAACACAGATGGCCTTCGAGTGGGGTGGCTCAAAGCTAGAGACAAAAGTGGGAAGATATAATGCCTCTTCTTCCTTTGATCCTACTGGGAGGAGGAAGGGTGGGTGGAGCCAGGGGCCGAGGCAGGAGAGACTCCCTTGAGAGCAAGGAGAAATGGCAGGAGGAGACACATCCCTATCTCAGCACTAAGTCTAGCCTTCACATCATCGCCTCCAGGAGAGACTACACAGATCCTTAATTACGAGCCCACTGCTATAAAAATGTAATAAACCCTTAATGCGAAGCAGCAAACACAAGAGAGGGATGTGGTTTCCTAGTGAAGCAGCTTGTGAGTGTTTTAAGAGGACAGACGTTTGTCCCCAGACTCCCAGGGAGGGGGTGGTGACGTGAGAGAAATGACCACCTTTGGTGTTGGTGGGGGAGCCCATGATTTTACAGTTTCCTCTTGCAGAATGCCCAGAAGTGAAAAGAGTTGGAGGAGGGGGAGGACTGGGTGGCTCTCCTGTTTGCATGCTAGAAGCTTCTTATATTTTACTGTCAAGAGGGGAGGCTGAAGAGATGGATGAGAAATGCAGATACCAGGAGAAGAGCCGTGCCAGCGAGCAGAACAACAGCCAGACTCCCACCCAGAGAGGCTAAGGCCTTTCAAGTCCCAAGTTACAGCTGGATCTGGGGGTGCTGAAGAGGGAGGTGATTAGTGAACCTGCCACAGTGGCTAAGGGGAAACCAGCGTGACACTCAGTGGACACTGACTGCAAGCAATGGGAAGCAGGACACTCACGGGGCGGGGGGCTTACCACTCATTCCTTACCAGGACCTTCTTCACCATGAGCTCCACATCTCTCCCAGAAGCCTGGTTTAATGAACAAACTACCAATGCTACCACTGGGGGGTTGTGAGCCTAGCAGAGTGACTGTACCACACAGGGAACC